AACACATATCATCTCAGAACATGAATCTTGTCAAGAAAGGATCAGAAATATGAATCATATTCCCAGCAGACTGCAATTTGTATTAAATGTATCAATAGGCAGTGCATTCAAATCATGACTCTGCTTGCCAGAAGGCTTGTATTCTCCATGAAAAAGTACAATTTTTCCCATCAGTAAGTCAAAAGCTGGAGCTACTCAGCATGAAATCACTTGAGGTCAAACATCTATTAAACACATTTAGACATGGGCAAATATTTCCAATGCACTGTGATAGCTAGCAGATAATTTACTCCTAGTATCTCTTCAAAGGTAGTGATAGAGACAATAACTGAACTCATGAATAAGGTAAGGAATACAAGAACAGCATCTGAAAGCAAAAATTTTGGTTTAGTATCCAAGTAAATGTATAAACATGAAACAAATTTTTAACATTTTGTACCGAAATTCATCTCAAAGTAGTTTCATGGAATTCAATGCACAGCAATAATATTGGAACTAAAAAAATTATTTTTATCCTTTTAGCTTAATAAAATAGCAGCATCATATATAAAATGCACACTTGTGATTGAAATCATGGTTCTCATATCTCAGCTTCATAACTGGTCTACATATGTCACACTGTCCTAAATTTGTTTTCTTTTAAAACTTATTGCAGGATATATGATGATTTCATTTAAATAATAGTGATGATGGTGATGATCATGGTGATGATCACGATGAGGGAAATCATAGCAATGATGACAAGAATATCATATATTTCTTGGGTCTTAGTATTGATTACTACATCTATTGTCTTGAAAAGTGGTCACTGGCATGTAAGGAGATGTCTTTCTAGTTATATCCACCTCCCCAGCCATAATTTCCAGAGTTCTTCAAGTTAAAATGTTTTTGTTTGGCCTTTTTTAAACTTCTTCCCCAGATGGCAATGTAATGTTTCCTCCACAAATTCCTACTGTTTCCTGCATTACCACAGAATTCAGAAGATTTGTAGCTAAAGTCTAGGTAACACACAATTTTAACAATTTTGGTATACTGAAATGGATGCAAGAAACACAAATTCAAAATGCTAAAGATCGTTCAAAGTGTGAGCCATGATATAAAAAAGCTCCTGATGAATACAACAGCACTTGGTTTGCTCTGTATCTCTAAGAAAAGATTGGGATGGAAAGGCAAGAAGTCTTTGCTTAGAGTTTCATTGCCCCCAAAGTTCATTATGGAGATGGATGATATAGCTCAGTTAAATTAGTTGCTACAACCTACTGGCAGAAAGCAAATGCTTTGGTCTCCCGCACTGGCAAAAAAGGAGGCACGAGGGAATGGGTATGGCTGCCTAGTTTCACTCAAAGTCTGTTTTTTCTTTGGCTCCTAAAGAGTGAAGTGCAAATTAATAACAATTTTTGGAGGGGTTGTAAAAATGCCCAGAATCTGCCCCCTTAATGAGAAGACCTCCAGAAAGTCCTCAAGTGGTAATTGCAGGAGTGTCATATAAGCTCAGGGAAAAGACAGCTTCTGTCCTTTTGTTTCAGAGAGGCAAAGTGGAGATAACCTTGCTACCTTAGCAAGAGATTAAGGCAGGTAGTTTGGGAAGTATTTTGCAGATCATGAAGTTCTGCTGGGGACCAGGAGAGCAGAGAAGGACCTGTTTCTGGGCACAAGTAGGGCTGAAGAGGTACAATTTGGAATGGCAGTCAGAGTTTTCATCTGGTAGGATAGATTACATCAGTTTCTATTTGTGATTTTCTAATAGCATGATTTCCTTTTAATTCAAATCTATATGGATCAGCTATGGATCATCATAAATAGATCCTCAGTAGAATATAAATTATTTGTGGCTGCATTATTACAAGTAACACAATTCCTATTTGAACTGTTTTCAATCTTGTTTTACAGCTGTATGAAAAATCTGTTTCATAATCATGAATGTTTCCTGTAGATAGCCAGGGCATTGATGCCCAAATCTCTATCTTATGAAGCCAGAAAACAACTTTCTTTCTTTTTTGTTTTTCTACTCTAAAGAATCCAACGCAAAATGAATTTTCCTAAATGAACTGATTAGCTGGGTTATCCCGTTCTGCCTTTGCTAGTTCATGACACCCTTAAGCCAAAAGTAGCTAACACTCACAACCTCTCGAGGACCCTTTTGTCCTGGTCTTGTGTTTGACACTAGAGATTACAGCCATGTTTGGCTCACAGAATAAACCCTGCCAGCTCAAATTTGTGTCTCCATGTCAATCTGCCAGTCCTCCCCCAACAACGCAGACACAGGAGCAGTTTATTCCACTCAATAACTCTTTCTCTTGTGAGAACTAAATGATCAAAGTGAAATTGTCAGGAAATTATTTGGGTACCATCTTTATAATTCCTCAGCATTATTTCACTGCAAGATTAAAAAGATTATCTTGCACCACTTCTGTCTTCAGTATTCACCATTTACAAGAATGTGAACTGGGACTGGCTATGAAAATACATAAGCAGTTCTGTAGAATAAAAGAATGATCAAAATATTCTGATAATAATGTAAAACATGTTGGGATTTTCTTTTCATTCTACTAGGTTGTTTTTGTAGTTTCTTTTTCCTATAATAAATCTATACAGAACCAATAGATTACATTGTCTTTCATTCTTCTTATCTGTGCCACAAAGCATAAACTACTAATTTTTAAGCAAGAATCTAATTCCTTTTAGTGAACTGTGCCTTTCTCAAGTAGTAACAAAATCATGGAAAATAAAAAAAAAATCACCACCCAGATAACCAGAAAGCATGTCACAGTGCCAGCATCAACAACATAGTCATTCATTTCAGGACTGGGAACATTAGGGGTTTTTTTACTCAGAATTTATTTGTGTGAGAAAACAGAACCTAGGCTTTGATGAGAAAGGCTTTCATCTGATAATTGGATTTTTTCCATTTTTATGGGCCTCCACAGTGCTCCTATGGACTCATATGTTTGAGTTAGTGACTCTCCCATATGGATTAAAAACCTTGGCCAGACTACACTGTTGTGCCAAAGTCAACCCTCTCTCTTAATGAGATACTGCAATACCTGCTGGAAATCTAAGTGCAGTGAATTGAAAAATATATAGTTCAGATGAAAACTCAAAAAAAGTAGAGCAAGGGCACAAGATGTTCAAACAACAGCTTCCAAGAGCATTGATGGATAAATTTTCTAAGAGAAAATTTTTATTTTAATTTTAAATTACTTTTTTTTTCCAAGAAATAAGAGAAGTTCTGAAAGGTGCACATTATAAGGATTTTTAAACATAAAAAGGGAAAGGAAAAAAATTTACCAAAATGAATTTCTCATCATTTGAAAATGAGTTTTGATGGAAAAACAGTGGACCTGAACAAAACTCCCCACTGAGACTGTTAGTCCATGCTACCCACGGGGTAGGCAGGGCAGGGCATGTGGAATGAGGACATACATCTGGAAAATGCAGCCCACTTCATTTTCCTAAGAGAAATACCTGGAATACCTGTGTTGAAATATCTCCTGAGAGACTGAAACTACAAGTATCCATAGCCTGTAGTTTGCACTATAGTGCAACCTATAGTTTTCTTTTTAGGAGCAGGACTGATGTCAGAGGAAGAAAAATGAAAAAATCAGAAAGAAAACACTTGAGAGACAAAAATATAAGTGCTTTGAACATTACAGATAGTGAAAAATCACCATTGAACTTAAGAAATTCTGATATTTCATTCACTGCATGATTAAAATATCTGAGATAGGGGCAGTTAACATTTCTCTCAGACTTTTAATGAACACATTGAGGTACTGTTATTTGCAAAATCCAACTCTACCAAATTATTTATAGAGCTGGCAACAAATATATCAGCAATGCAGAAATGTAAATAGTAGAATTTATACCTTTAACATTCTACCAGAGATCAGATCAGGTGGTGTCAAATGGCACAATGACTCCACTGTAGCATGTGAACAGAAGTTTGTGGCTTCCACCAGTTCTGGATCTGGATGACTGCACACAATCTGAATGCCTGTTTTCTTTGCAAATTAGTGCCTTTTGAGGAGCTTTGCTGCCAATACAGTCATGAGTGACACGGGTGATTCCTTGAAGCATTTCTGTTTTCAGTTCCTTTCAAGTCTGCTTATTATGCTGTGTAACTAACTACAGTCAAAGGAAATGGAAAAAAAAAAACAAAAATCCTACCATTAACCATTGGATTAAGTCAAAAGGGAAAACTTCACTAAGAGCTAATTGACTGAAAGTCTTAGGAAGTCAGTGAGTGGCTGTATCAATATCCTATCAATAGAATGGATTGTATCTTGGATATTCTTACCCCGGATAAGGACATTCACCTGAGTTACAGATTTGCTCTAACAGGAAACTTTTTGTGGGGTAGAATTATTAACCACTAATTGAAGGGAGAGTGGAAAAAAAAAACCAGCAAGAAAAATCTACCAGTTGTAATTATAGTAAGACCTTCATACAAACCCATTCTTGCTCTGGTACTACTTTCACCCACCTTCTTCCTCTTCCTAACAGATAGAGACCTGTACTTGTCAGCTGAGCTGGGGCACTGCTTTTTCCATTATAAGGAACAGCAATATTTGGTACTTGCCCTTATCTGGTCTAATTATACAGAGGATAGAAATCATAATAGATGCAGTCATTTCAGAATAAATTAACCTGAAGCGTTACTATTCACCGCACAGCAGAATTTCTCACTATGTAGTCAGTATTTAGCTAAAATCAATATTTCTTTGACTACAATTTAAAGACCATTAAAACCCCACAATTTTATAGCTTTTCTACTGAAATTTGAGACTGCTAGCACTCAGAGAACTGAAATGTGATGAAACACAGTATAATGCAGACAGCTTACATGTCACCAGATGTAAGTGCCACAGAGACCCTGCAGATCCATTCTCACCTGAAAGAGCCTTGCCGATATTTCTTCCATATTCCTCTGATCAGATTGCAGACATTGAAAGGAAATAAATAGCTACCTGCATATAACACCCACAAACCAGCAAACAAATGGCATTTGAAATAAAGATATGCAGATTTATTTTTACAGCAAAGGGAAATATTTGAATTTGAACCTAAAGGGATACTAAGGAATAAAATAATAATTGGTTCTCTGTCAATAAATCTCATGCTAGAACAAATGGGTCTGAATGCCAAATGAAAGCGTCTCTCTTAGCACCCACTTTTATTTAGAGTATGTATATGTGTGTGTATGGGGTGTGTGTAGGTGTCCAGTTAACTGCTTACACATCAGGAAATGCATGGAAAATCAAATCCCATGGTGTGAAGCCAAAAAACCTGAACTGCCGTTATGCTGCTGATACCTGAAATCCACAACGGAATTTGAAACTGAAGTAGGGGTTCAATGTCACAAGCACACCAATTTTTATTTTTCTAAATTATATTAAGCTGCTTGGCATTTTATAAATGTACATAAAGAGTTAATTTAAACCAGGTGCTAGTAAGAGCTGGCAAAAGCTTTTTCTGACTTTGTGCTGCCTTCTCAAGATTTGTGATTGTCCCTCAATCACACCAGAATGATGAACAATTCATGGTTCAATCTGAAAACATATTCAAGGTTAATTAGATCAGGTTTCTTTTTAATTATGTTTCAATTTGTTGAACCAGTTAGTAATAAAATTTTTACTTCTTAGAAATCCAGAATCACAGAGGGGGAAGTACTTTAGAACAAAAAATATCTAAGATACTTTTATGTATATTTGTCAGTCTTTACAGGAATTCATTCTTATAAGACAGTGGCGATTGAAGCACTGAGTCAGGCTTGCACAACACAGAAACTTCCTGAATATGCTACAGAACTGCAGAGAAATATATTTTTACAACAAAAACCAATTTTTCAGCTTCCTTATCCACAAAATAAGGGGTGATGGTAAAATATCGCTATGTCTTGTGAACACAGGGAATGTAACAAGACAACAACAAGCCCTCAGCATTTATGCAGAAGTGCTGTTCTCCTCAGGGTCTCTGTCTGCGAGATGAATGCTGCCTGTGAACACGGATTCCTCTTGAGCCGAGGTATTCTCCAGCTGCTTGCTTGTGCAATGTGGAATCTGGCCACAGAAATACATGTAAATCCATGGGTTGGCACAACTATTTAAATTGCCAAGGAGCATTATAATGGTGAATGCTGAACCTAGAAGAAAGCAGTTAAAGGAATGAGAGACTAAATAAAGCACTCTTATAAATATAAGTCACATTTTCACAGTCTGCTGCTTTCTGCTGTATCTATTATTATGCTAAAACCAATCTAATATTAGGAAATTCCCATATCAATGCAATTTGAAATTGCTGAAGGTATAAAGCACACTTTATTGTATGCATTCAGAGTTAAATAGTTTCATATAGCTCTTTTTTGATGCAGTTGCATTAATTTTAAAAGTAATTACTAAGCTGTTAGATACAAATAAATACAGGTATATATTTTGACATAAATGTATGTAGAATAAGACTCAAATTCACACTGACAGGAGGAATTCTTAAAACAAAGTTCAGAAACTACTGTTTTTATCAGGCAGGACTATTATATTTTTATCTCTTTTTTTTCCTCTTTATTTAGACTAGGTGATTTTAAAGTCACATAGAGTCTGCCTTTCACAAAGAGGCAATAGCATAAATTTGACAAGCCCATTCTTGTTTACAACATGGTGTTTGATAACTCTCTCAGGCTTGCTTTTTTGCTTTATAAACAGATGGTTGAAAACTTTTGGCTGTTTCATAGTTTACTACAGAGATTTCATCAATATGATTTCAATAGTAAAAAAATAAGATGTCTTATAACTCCACTGTTCTACCCAGTAAATAAGAAACAATTTTATTACTTTGTATAGTCAATTGCTTCTTTTCACCTCAAGAACCCAAAATACTGCTATTATACCTAAAACCTCTAAAAGTCTGAGGCTTTGCTGAAGCACATGATACTTTTCCCCATGCTGTTCATGAATCTTTAAATTGTTAATTACTCCAGACACACACTCAAAGCAGACGCATGATGTTTTGATCACATAACACAAGAAGCTCCCTGTACCTAATTAAATATAGGAGATAATCAATCCAGGTATTTCTTTTTATTCCTCCTCAAATGACCACACATAACCTTTACACAAAAGCAAAATGCAAACATAAAGCACTCGAGAGCAGCGTGCCAGCCTGCTCTGCAGCTGTGGCTGAGGAGGGAGAGCATCTTACCTTCAGTCAGGATGCTGGGGAACCACACAGACCACAGCTGGGCAATGAAGAAAGGTGACCAACACAGAACATAGGCAACAACTGTCACCACTGTCATTTTTACAGTCTTGATCATAGCCTTTGAAATACAGTTCACACTGCTTGCTCGGGATGGCAGGACTTGATTCTGATTTGTTGCTTCACATTCATTCTGTTTTTTCACGTTTATATTTCTTCTGATTATTTTGCAAATCTTGACCTGGCATGTGATAAGGATTGCTGAGGGAATGAAGAATATAACTACAAAAATCCAAGTCACATATGCCCTTGGCCCCCAGGGCTGAATAAATTCACCCCAACATTCAAAGACACCTGGAGATATTTCAGTCTTAGAAAAGATAAATACCTGTGGTAGGCTAAGAATCAGTGCTATAGACCAGCTGCTGCAAATGGGGAAGTTCCAGAGAGCTCTCTTCTTTTGGAAAGTGACCATAGGGTAGCAAACAGCTTGATATCTGTCCACTGTCATGACCACTATCATATAAGTAGAGGCAAACATGCCCAGCAATTGTAGATACTTGATAATTCTGCACAAGAAATCTGGCCCTATGAAAACATCTGTAATATCCCAAATGAGCTGAGGTAGCACTTGGAAAAAGGCTACCACTAAGTCAGCAATGCTGAGGTGAAGCATGAACACATACATCCTAGACAGCTTCTTTCTTCTTCGCCACAGCACGAGTATGAGAATGAAATTGCCCACAGACGCTGTCAGAAATATGACCCCCAGAACAGCAATCTCTACTTGAGCTAATTGCTCATCTCTTTCTGGTCTTCCAATAGGATCTGACTGATTTGTCAAACTCAGGAATCTGTGAGGAGGAGGACTCTCGGTCTGATGTGTGTTATCCTGCACAGGAAATGAAAAATTCTTCATGATGCACAGAAGCTACTCACGGTAGCTGCCACTTGCGACTGAGGTTGACAGCAGTGAAGCACTGGCTGGCAAACAGACCAGCCTGGGTTCCAGTTTCAGGGTATCTTCGAGCAAATCTTCCTGCTCATGCGAACTAAAGCAGTGGGACTTGGATCGTGGTGAGATTCTGCCTCTTGCTGGCATGCCAAAAGGCTTTATATAGGCTCCAGCAGACAGAGCCTTATGTAACTGCAGAGCCCTCGGGTAGGCTGCAGGGACAGCAGCCAATGGCAGAGCGAGCCACACAATTGGGGGAAGATATAAATAAAAGGCAAACTTCAGAGGCTCAATGTGATTCAATTACTCACTTCAGTCAAAACCCGAACTTGTAAATAGCTGTGGCCAGACTCGCACTCAAATGCCCTTACTCGGGAGAGTTCTTGCAAAAATCTGTCTACGCAAACCAGAGGAGCACCCTTTAGCAGAAGTGGGAGGAAGGTTTATACGTAGATAAAATTGGATCCCTGAGCACATCATAACAGCAATCTCCAGGCTCCTGGGGCATGACCACATCCTAAATGCAGCACAGAGAAAGAAATGCATTTTTCCATAGCCTTTTTTTCCTTCTTCTCTCTTTTGGAGTCACCTGGTCCTAAAATAAAACGAAAAATATTTGTACTGCCCTAAAAATAATATTTTTATTTCAAAACATGGTCAAGACTTAGAGTTTTTTTCTCAGCAAAATGAAAAATAACACATGTGAAATAAATTACTTGTAATAGGACTGTGAGTCTACTGAGAATTTAATAAAAAAAAGTGAAAATTCAGTGGCAAATCCAACTAAGGAAAAGGTCTCTATGATGAAACAATACACAAAGGTCTCTATTCTATTATAGTGCTAAAGTCTGTGAGATCATTTTTCAGTATCTAAACCTTTTCATTTTTGTAAATGTAAATTGAATCATGAACACAGGAAATTCATTGTTCTCCAACATTCCCATATGATTTTGCATAAAGTTTATGGCAGATAAGAATAGAAAATTTAAACTGATTTCTTTTTTTTTTTATCTCTCAGCCTGTCCTCTTAATCACAAAAGAGAGAGATTAAATAAAATTGATCAGTTTAATATGAAAAATAACAGATATTTGTATGCAATCTTACTTGAAGCTATGGCACGCATATCCTTCTGGTTACAGTCAGGACACTGGTAGTTTGAAGTCTTTCTCAGCAGGAAACCAGTAAGGTGAAAAGCAATATCCATGCTGCATATATAGTACATAACACTAAACCTAAGCTGATTAATCACTGTGATCACAGTTATGTTAGAAGACCAGCTCAGGAAGATCACAGACAGACTAACACTTCTATGCCACTAAAGGTTTTCATGTACCAACAGTAGTGAAGGGCAAAATTCATAAAGAGGATGCTGAGGTAGACTACAAAAGTTTGGAAAACCTACATGACCTGTTTGCTCTCCCTCTTTCCCCCTTATCTGCCACCAGGCAATGGATGTTAATAGCTCATGAAAGGGTAAGACTGTGAGAACAGACAACAGAGAAGCTGAACAATCTCAGGAAGCTTTTCCACTGACAGCAGCTGTAAGTATCCATTATCTAGACTTGGCTGAACACTGCTGCAGCTGCCTGAGTCTACAAAAGCTTTTCTCTAAGACTGTGTTGCAAAGAGTAAGAATCACAACAACTTAATCTAATATACCTGATTTTTTTCCCTAAATTAAGGCCTATTTGTAGGAAACTTGGATTCCTGAAGTTGTTTCCTTTTAGTTTTCCCTCTCAGTTTGGAATCTAGCTCAATTAGCGGGAAATAGGCTTAGCAAGACCATAAGGGAAAAAATGGGTTTGCCTTAACCCTCACTCTCCCTTCACCCAGCAACTTGCAGAAGAGTAACTGAATTGACCACAAACAATAAACCCCTGGAAATGCTGCTGATAGCAAAAAACTGCTCTGGAGAGCAGCTGGGCTGATCTCTATCCTTCAAGGGAGACTAATTTTAAGGTGTGTGCTTCAAAATCATTTACCTTGACCATCTTCACTCCATAATTTAACAAAAAGGCAAGTGGGATCTTTATTCTTGCAGCAAGATATGATGTAAACACATTCATCTCAGCAGAGCTAGAATTAAGTGGGTTGAGACAGGAACATGTTGAACAGAATTTTAAGTTCGGGATCAGGCATGGAAGATAAACATAAATTTATATTTTATTATTATATTTCAATATCAAGAAATTATATGCAAGAAGCCCAGTATATGCAACCAAAGTCAATTCTGGGATAGTGTTGGAAGACTAACCAGAATATCATAGTTATTTGTATGATTGTTCACAACACATAAGGTATGGATAGACATATTTCAGGCAAATATGTTTTTTCAGCTATGCCTAGAATGGTCCAACAAGATCCCTGGGAACACACAACTCTTCCTCAGTCTACACACGCACACAGCACACAGTGTCTGGGCAACAGCCCAGGTGTTGGATCCAGATGTGGACACAGGCTAAAGGGCAAGCACACTGTGAAACAAGTAACCTTCTCTATGTTTATTAAAAGGGTGGTGGCCCTTCTTGTAAAAATTGTCCTAGTGATGTAAGACTCTATTCCATCTTGCATATAATCAGTACAATATGTGTTAATGGTTTCATAGCTTTATGATTGTTCCCTTTCAATCTTGTTCATCCATGCAAGCAGATAGTCATGAAAATGTTAAATTGAAATTTAATCCACTCTGGGAATATAACTTGCTGAAAAAAGAAAATTAAGATAACTGGTGAAAATGGTTAAGCAGTCTTAGCTGTTCATTTATGCCAATATTTTCCTCCCATTGCCCAGCTTTGCTTCATTGCAAACTGTATCTGTCCAAGTTAAATTCTTTTCCTAAATTATTTTAATTAACTTCTACTGAACTTCTCAGGGTGGACTGTCATCTAATGTTTGTTAGTTAGCTAGAGATTCAGCTCACAGATTAGGACTCCAACTTAGCTATCTGATCTGAATTTCAGAATCGCACAGCTGCTCAAGGCAGGGACAACACTGAATTCAGACCACTCCACCCAGGGTTTGTCCAGTCAGGTCTTGAAGACCACCAAGAGTTTAGAACCCCAAACCTCCCTGGGTAACTGGTTACAAATGCTTATTTCCATTGTGAAAAAGCTTTCCTTATGTGTCACCAGACCCTCCCCTTATTCAGGCCACCTTCTCTCATTCTTCTGGCATGACTTAAGTAAAAACCTGGCTTGGACCTCTTGCCAGCATCCTCCTAGGCACTGCATTGGCACTGTTAGTGCCTCTGAAGGTGTCTCTCCTCCAGGCAGACCAAGCTACACTGAGAGCATTGTGGAAAATGTTGTATTCAGGGAGTTAGTGATCTTGAACAGTACATGTCTGTTCTACTGAGCCTTGTACTTAAAGCCTGTGCTGACAGTGGTGAATATTTTGAATTAGATGACATCCCAGCCTGGTTGTTTGCCACACAAAAGAAAAGGCTCCACATTGTGGGAAGAAGGTGGAACCCCTCCACAGATGCCATCTGTACAGGGGAAGATCCATGTAATGTCTCTCAGATACTGCACAAAAACAGAGTTCCCAGCATTGGAAGGGACCTAAGATTTCCTCACTACCCATATTTCAGGGGTTTACCCTACCTTAAGAAAACAGCTATTTTATTATCCTCTTTATTCTTGCACCCCCTGGTCCAGAGTACAAGCCCAGCTCACTCAGCCTCCCCCACTAGGCTACATCTTCCAGCCCTCTGATCATCTTCACAGTGCAATGCTGAGCTCACTCATGCTCATCAACACCTCTCCTGGGCAGGGGCTCCAGAGGAAATATTCCACATGTGGTGAGTGGGGTGTGCTGAGCTGGTGGGGAACAAACACTTCCCCTGACCTATGAATTCCACATGACCTGTGTGTGTGTCAAGTCCCATCACAATCTTTGCCTTCCAAAAACTGCATGAATTGCAGTGCATTGCAGATTATTTTTGCCAAGTCAGGTGAGGAATATATGTGGAAGCAGGAATATATGCATTTTAGGGTTAAATGCCTTTGACCAGTTTCTAAAACTCAGAAACTGTTTAATTTTTGACAGACACTTATTAAATACAACTTGTGAAGGAAGAGGTCTGCAGTCTTTTACTTTGAAATGGATAAGCAAGTTCTAAAATGTTCATATTTAAGAAAAGATCAAGTGGGAAATATTGTGGTCTGCTTTTGATGTAAGAAACCCAGGTCTGCCTCTTTTCTCAGTAAGATTCTGCAGATGTGAAGAGCTAGTAGACTATCATTAGCACACTTGACAAGTCATGAAAACCAGCTAACTAAGAAAAACAAACTTTTGCATGATTTGCTACATATTTAGAGAATCTTAGAAAAATCAAAAAATATTTCCTTACTGCTGATGTGATTCGGTTTACTTCCAAACATTAAAATGTACAAAGAGCTTCCATAGGCCTTATAGGGAGAAAAGGACTAGACTGTGCAGTAAAAAACTCAGTTATCAAGAAGATGATAGAAATATTTACTTCTTAATACTTTTTTACATAAAATACTTACTTAGTAGTATATTCTGGGGTAGATAAAATGATTAGCTATAACATTGCATTGAAATTGCCCTATGGTTAGAGACTACATTTGAGGAGATGTATTAAGTAATGTAAATACATATCAGTAGCATAAAATTTTATGAGAACTGCTTCTGGAAGTAGTGCAATGGATAGCAAATGGATTCTTTCCTACAGGAGATAGTAACAGTTATGCATTAATGCTGTTCAATACTGAGCCTGTAGCACAGATGCATTTACAGCAAGGTAGGTCCATATTTTTCACTAATGTAATTCTGCTTATTTCCAGAACATGATGGATAAACTACTTTGCTGTAAGTCTTTTTTTACTGAACTAAAATTATGTACACCATAGTTATGCTGTACAATTTCCTACAGTTCTGGATTCTTAAAAAGAAATCCCACCATTAGTATAGTAGTTATATTAATATACAAGGTTCTTTGGACCCAACTTAACAGTACACTTCAACCTTATATAGTTAAAAAGTTACATCTAAAGGCAATGTGCCTAGAGAAGACAGAGACAAATACATCACAGACATTATTACAGACAGCATATAATGAGTCATGCAGTGTAGGCAGCTACCAATGCCATTGTCACCA